TTAAAAAAAAATTAAATGTTTTTTTGCAAATCTAAAATTTTTTAATCCAGTACATCTGACACTTTCTTAGTCTCCCCAACTGTCTTTTGTAGCACGATGTTTTGAAACGTCTCTATTAGCATTTTTTTTAATCTAAGCATTTCTTTAAAAAAAATTAAATATTTTTTTGCAAGTCTGACTTTAACATTTCCTTAAGAATTTTTCTTCTTTTGAAAATCTTAAAGTCAGTACATTTAACACTTTCTTTTTACTTCAAGTCAAAGTAATCCGAAGTAGCCTAAAGTGACCTGAACCAACCTGAAGCTACTCGAAGTGACCCAAACATTATTTTTTACAATCTAAAAGACACTTTTTTTAAATAAAAATGAAACTCTTAATCAAATCCGAGACCATATTTACTAGTACCTTTACTAAATCTGTAATTATAAAAAAAAAACATATACAGAATCATTAGTATCATTAAATAGAAATAAAAATTGTCAATAGAATATAGAATTTTTCAAACAACTTTTTTATGTTCCTGGTACCTTATCTTACTTGAAATTTTTGTTTTGTTTTGAAAACTGTGGGTGGTCGAAAAAAAAAATTGATACAATACAGGGTGTTTCACGTAATTTTACGAGGCCTGCGCCTGTAAGATGCAATCAATAATACATATTCCGATACGAACTCGATTACAAATTGTGAAAAATTCGATAATCTTCTCTAGTTTGTTCACCCTTTCAAAAATTACAACGTTTTTATTTAGTAGGTGATTAAAATAGATAAACTAGAATCATATTCATGCCGTCTCTTGATAATTGTTTCTGAAAAACTACAGTTTATGACTATTAATGAAACAGTGATTAGTTTGACAACTACTGTCATGGGTTTCCAAAAATTTAATAATTAAATGTGTATTTTTGTATCCAGTGTTGTGTGACTTTTGTATATTTGGGTGCGTACATTAGGCGCAAGCCTCGTAAAGTTATGTGAAACACCCTGTATATGACAGCATAAAAAATTCAAACCCCTGAATCATGTTGACTTGTGTTATCTTTCTATTTTTGAGATTTATTTTGCGTCTAATTTTTCCAGACAGTTCGGGCGCTTGGCGCGAGGGCAGGAGTAGCCGTGAGCCGGAGCGAGGGGGGGGATTCACTCGGTCGGACCGTTTCAGAGAAGAGCGCGATCAAGATTTCAGTCGTTCTCGAGACGATAAGAACTTCATGAGACGAGATTACGGCGACAGGGGCAGCAGAAATGGTGGTGGTTTTACGCGAGGTCCCCCTCCACCAAGGGAAGAAGAAACGCCGAGTAAAATTACATTCTGTTAGTTTTCTTGTTTTTGTTATAATATAGGGGTTGTAGATGAACCGCGACAAAGACCGAAACTAGTTTTAATTCCTCGAACAAAACCGGTGGAAAATGAACCGGAGAAAGCAGTTTCACATGCGGCGATTTTTGGTAACGCTAAACCGGTAGATACCAGCGCGAGGGAACGACAAATTGAAGAAAGATTGGCCAAGGATAGTGAAGTGGCGCCGCCACGCAGAGATGTGAGCAAGGAAAGGAAAGAAGATAGGGAAAATGTGGGGCAGAAGGAGAAAAGGGAAAAGGCACCAGAGACGGGTTTGTTTTGTACTACGATTTTGTTCTACAGAGAATGAATTATTATTGTTATAGAAAAGAAAATTGTGGAGAAAGAAAAGACTCCATCTCATAAAGAAAAGTCTGATCTTAATGGGGTTATAGATAAAAGTCAACAGCAAAAACGAAATGGTTTGGTTACGTGACACGTTTGTGTGTTGGTACTAATTGTTGGTTTCAGGAGATCATGAAAAAAAGGATGCTGTCAAGATTGATAGCGATAAACATAAACCAGAAACAAAAAAACGTGAGGAGAAAAAGTGAGTTGATTATTGTGTACATTGTTTTTTCTACACAACTTATTTTGTAGGGAGAAAATTGAAAAAGAAATGCCCAAATTAAAGAAAGCTGATCCTCCGAATTTTGTTGCAAGTAATAAATTCGCCTATTTGCAAACTGAGGATAGCTCAGATTAATTGATTTGTAAAAATTCACCCAAATAGTAAAGGTTTCTTTATTACCCATGTTATTATTTTTTTAATCTTCAATGATGTGGTGTCTGAAAATTACATTTATACATAATATACAAAATAATAATTATTTAAAAGTGAAAAGTTGTTTTATTTTATTTATTCATAAATTTAACTGTTTGAAACAAAATCGCCTACAAATTTTGTTTGTTTATTCGCTCATGTGAAAAAGTTAAAGAAAAAAATGTTTTCTATACCACATTAACGCTCCTCGTCCATAGATGGCCAGACCAGTTTAGGGACTTTAGCTTTCATTCTCTGATAAAACAGAAAAAAATCAATTTTCTCAAAGAATCATTTTAAATTTGACGCTCTTCAATATTCATTAAGAGAATAAAAAATGATCGTAAAAAAACCTATTGACAACACTGAATTATTGACACCATCCCTTAAATATACAAGGTGCGCCCCAGAGAAAATTTTAAAGATACTAGAAACATGAAAAAAATTATGAAAGAAGTAGTAAACAAAATGGACCCATAATGTCGATAAAATAGGTTCCTCTTTTCTCTTCATATTTGACATCTGGAATTTATTGTAAACTGTGTTGCATATACGGGATCATCACTTACATTATTGTTCTGCCTGCTTTTAAATCATTTAATGTTGCCAACTTAAATTCAGAATCCTGTGATTTTTAGTGCATATAATTCAATAAATGGTTGATAATTCAAAATAAAGATACCTATATTAAAATATTACGAAGAGAAAATAATTATTCTGTTATTTAAATAAAAGTTAAAAAAACAAATGTAAAGATATCAGGAACTTAAGTTTATGTAAAAACAATGGATACGAGAACATAAGAACAATTGTTTCTATTATATTGGTTTGTTTTACTAAAAAAGTTACTAATTACTCACTGAGGTTACGCACCCGAACTTCACCTTATGTAGTTGACAGATCGAAAGCTACCACCGACAATCATCCCTCTATTTTTGGGGCACCGTTGCCGGCAGCGAAGGCACTGCTTAAAAATTAACTCGAATTAAAATTTATGTCTAATGATGACTCTGGAAGAGTAGTGTTTATTTCTTCTAATACAACCTTATCCAATGGCAGTCTTTGATCTCGAAACAAAGAGAAAGTGTGAAGTGAATAACAAAAAACAACAATTTGAAGAAGCATTGCGCAACAAATGACAAAGGCTTATACTCTTGAAAAAAATTAACGATGAAAATAATTTGTGTAACACATTGCTGTTTTTATTCTTATTTCTTCAACATTTTTAGCAAAAGGGCTGATATTTTATTTGAAAACATTACAAGAATAAAAGCTCATCAGGTTCCAAGTCCCAAAACTAATGTTTAAAAAATTATGACAACATTAATTAATTGATTTATTTATGTTTTATAATAAGGTATTGCGCAGAAATTCTAATTAGAGGTGATAGAAGAGGACAAAAATCCTAAGCCTAATGTTCATAGTTTCACAAATTTTTACTTTTTTATTTTATAAGTTGTACAATAATGTTATACATACCTATATAAAATGTTCCAAGAAGCCGATTGGCGTCGAGAAAACTGCAAAATTTTTGATCGTTCAGAAGTTATACAGGGTGAATATAAAGTATGGAACCAAGCGTTTTTTTTTAAATCATTTGTCTTCAGAAAATAATATTTAATATAAATCAACGTAATATAAAAATGAGACGTATTTTGAGAACGAAATTTTGTCTTGTTTATGAGTTATGCGATTTTTTTTAGTCAAAATTGCAATTTATGAAAAAAAAAATTTTTGAAAAAATTAAATATGAAGTAGATAGTTGTAATCCTTAGATCATAACCTTTATGAGAAAAATAGTTTTATAGGGGGTTACTATTTAAAAAAATAAAAAAATTTGTAGAACTCAAAAACAAAAGAAAATTTCGAAAAATTTTATTTTTGATAAAACACCACATCTTTAAAGTACTTTATCATTCATCAATTAGTTTTTGCAAAAAATTAATAGTTTAAGCAAAAAACATTTGGTTCCATATTTTTATTCACCTGGTATGTAGTTGAATTAATATTTTGGGTATTTTTGACATTATTAGCAATTTTCTCGATAACTATTTAACGTAGGTCAATTATCTTTTTTATATATGATAAAAAATTAAATTACCTTTCCAACGGTACCAAACAAAAACTTCCGAAGTTACTAGCAATAAACTGCTGCGGATACCGAAAATCGCCCAAAATCTCGAAAAAAATCAAAAAAATTAAAAACTACAAAATTAAACCATTTGCACTTTTGGGGGTAAAATGAAATATAAAGTAAAAGTAGCATTGACTGTAATAATAAAAATTATAGAAATAAATAAAGACTTTTCATTATTTACAATTACAAGTGGAGTAAAAATGCATTAAATTTTTTTGACGTACACACAGAGAAATATTGTTTAACAGTGAGTAAAATACTCTCGAATTAAATAATTCTTAATCTTCGATATACGCAAGTAAATATATTCTCCAAAATAGAAAATTATTAGCTCAACCTGCATTTCTTGAGTAGAAACATAATTGATTTAATATAAATACTTCCATTGAGTTTTAAATCAAGTAAATACAACATTAAGAGTAAATAACGTTTATTATTGAAGTAAAATCTACTAATTCTTGAAGTAAAAAGTAATAATTTCTTCTGAAATATGGAACTTTTGGAAGAAGAAATTGTTTTCTTGAAATAAAAACTTACGCATTCAATTTATGAAACTGATTTATTTAATTTGAACGCATCCTTATTTGAAGCTAACAAT